GAAATTTAGTATATATAAATTTGTTCCCTTGTTTTAATTAAATCAAAACAAGAGAAAATTTTTTTACAAAGTGGCCACGATTTACTAAAACAAGGGAACAAATTAAGTTGTGGGAACAAATTCTTAATTTGCAAAAATTAATGAACTAAAACAAGGTAACAAATTATTAAAATGAGGGAATAAATTAATAAAACAAGGCAAATTATGAATAAAACAATGGAACAAATTCTTATTAATATATTTTTGTCCACGTCATGTACAGGGCTCTGTAAATATTTATTATTTATATATGTTTACATTTAGATTAGCTTTGCTGTAATCTAACAAACAGAAAGTTGATCTTTAAAAACACTAATAATTTGATATATCACTGTTTTAATATATTACTGTTAGATGCAATCTTTAGCAAATTTCTAAATGAATATGCATTTTTTCATACTGTACACATTATAACATTGTGATACATACATTTTGCACTTTTAGCATTTACAGTGGCTGATTTGAGTTTTTATTGTTTTATTTGTAATTTATTTATTTAGACAAAATATTTTAAAATGAATAAAACAAAAGTCATTGTGTTTTTGGTCTTATTGTACATGATTTAATGCACATAGACAAATAATGAAATGTAATAACTTTTTTTTTTTTTTTAATAAAACGCATGGAAACAGACAACAATGATAAACATCTGTTTTCTGACAGAGTAAATCTCTCACATGGAGTGTGCAGCAGGTCTAGCAGGAATAAAATAAAGACGCACACACAAAGGTGTTGGTAAATGTGAGGGGTAAGAGCAGCTGTTGGACGATGTAATTACAGTGGGGCCGAACAGCTGGAGGGGGCTGAACGCCTTCATAACTCACAGAAACATATCAAACTTGCTCGGCTACCACCAACCTTAATTACCCTCCGCATATATCACCACTCTGTTTCACGTCCATAAAAGTGGCCAAATGCACACAAAACAATGCTGCCGCTGCTGGCGGTTTGATGACTGGGTCACTGGTGTCCTATAGAAGTAAATGAGATGTCAGGAAATTTGATGTCTTGCTACACATAAACCATGTCTCATTGCTAGGAGAAACTTGTTGTCTGGTTCTTGGCATGAATAAAGCATAATTTGTCTAATTAAAGGGCCAAATAAGTGCAATGTATAAAAAAGGTGACTTTTAAAAATGTGGCTAATAAAAAGGCTTGTCTTTATGGTGGTTGGATGAATGCTAATGTGTTAAATTCATGGGGCTCATGGGTTTAATTCCCAAGAAATGCATGAACTGATAAAAGGTCTATTATAAATGCAATCCAGATACATTATAAACAAAATCATCAATTTTTAAGAGAAAACACTTTAACAGATTTATCTCAGCTGATCTCAGCTTCATGCTTCCCATATAGCAAAATGGATTGACTAGCGGAAAAGTCTTGCATCAAAATCTTCTGATAAGATCATATTTTTACATGCATTATTTAATATATATTTTTTTAACTATTAAAATATGTTTTACACACATACAACCATTCAAATGTTTGTGGTCGGTAAGAATTTTTGATGTTTTGGACTCTTAATAGTGTACACACCAAAAGCTAATTTAATTATAGTTATAAAGTAGATTACATACAAAGTCAATGCAAAGACGCAAATACACACCAATTTGCAATTTGTCGGGGCAACAGAAATCACGCGAATTGGGCAGCGCGATTGCTGCGAACACGATATACGCCTCAATCGCGTCTTTCTGCGCAAGTTGAAAAATTTCAACTCGAGTGGAAAATTCGCACGACAAGTAGTCACGCAAGCCAATAAAGCGAAGAGCTTATTGACACGTCCGGTTGTATCAGAAAATGGAGGAGAGCATTACACTATGTTTTTATTCGCCCGAGTGAGGCGAAACATATCCTGCGAGTAATCTAGAGCGATAACGCAATGCGAACATTCGCTTCACTTTTGGTGCACACACAATAAGTCTCTGATATTCACCAAGGCTGCATTTATATGATCAGTAAATCACTGCAGCTTATGTTTTTACATTAATTTTACTCAAAATAAGTTGATAAATTTAAACTTTTTTTTAAATATTTTTTTTAAAATTCAACTTGCTTTTTTTAAAGTTGGTTTAATGTAATTTAGCTTGAAATGCCAAGTTGATTATATTTAATTTTAGGCAGCAACTGAACTTAAGTTTTTACCTTGAAATAGGTGGACATTTTTTTACAGCGTATACAAAATAATATTATAAAATATTATTAGAATTATTACATTTTAGTTTTATTTCTTAACGTTATCAATCTTATAAACATTGGTGTGTTGCTTAATATTTTTGTGGAAACGTGATAATTTTGATCGAATGAATAAAAAGTTTTTTAAAATAACATTTAGTTATAAACTTTTATTACGTTAAATGTCAAACAATTTTGCTGAAAAATCATGCCACACACATCACAAATTGGTCTGTAATTTAGAATCCATTACAGTTCCATTCTTAATGATTCTAGCTGTCAGCCAGCCAGACAATTTTACATAATAAAAAATACATTTTTGCAGCCAAATGTTAAAGTTCGCAAAGCATAAAAATACATGTACATGTAATATACATTACTGATCTTATAGGACAAACTAAAACACTTTCAATGGCTTCAGATCAGTTCAGATCATCTTTATTGTTGAGCCATTTTGCGGTTAAACCAGCAAAATGTTGTTTGCATTGGGCTGTCGACAATAAGCAAATACTCTCAGACCTAGTATGTGAACAACCAGTTCAAGTTTGCATCAAACCACACCACAGCCATGAAGCTCAAATGTCAAAAAAACAACTGGAAGTAGAAATCTCGCCCTGTTAACCCAGAGCTGACAAACCATTAAAAGGTGAACACAGGCTCAGAGATTCAGACAGCCTGCCTCTGTTTGGGTAAACTCAGCAATATTTTCCTCACACTATTTCATGGCCTTTATTTTATCCCACAGAAGAAGGTGTAAATCTTCGCCTTCTGCGGTCTATCAAAGTGGGCGATTATTGTTGCTAGGTAACAGCATGTCATAGTTGAAGTTGGCTTTACTTTGGAGTGGCTCTGCTTTGAATGTGAATGCGCTGAGGCGGGTTCCCTACGGGGCAGGTGCGCGCATGTCACATGACTGGCTGTTGACTTGTAATGAGATTACGAGCAATTCTGCGAATCTCAATGCAGCAGCCTTCCTTCCATTAGAAAAGAAGCTGCTAATGGGAAGATAAGAGTCCAGGAGGGAAGAAATACATGGAAGAATTAATGCAGATTGCAGCTGAATGGAGAAAAAGGGGAGAAACAAAGATGAATAAAATTGTAATTTAACAGATGTGAAAGATTGTTTTTCTACCTGGAGGAACAGGAAGAATGGCTTAGAGACTCTACAAAACAATATGTGTCCCTCATCCAAGAGGATTTCATGCCGTTGTGGTCTGTGATTCATCAGGTCACGAGTGAATCAGTTCAAATCAGTAAAATTAAACCAGGACAGTGTAATTACACAGGTCAACAAACACCAGATGCATTAAGGCAAATAAAAGCTGGCTGAGATGAGGAGAGATTTAATCAGTTTAGTCAATTGCATTAATCTTGAGGACAGGTTGATTAAGTAGAATGAGGCTCTTATTTGCTGATTAAAAACTAGATTTTCATTAAAAAGCCATTAAAGTCACTAGTTGACTATTTAAAATCTACAGTCTTGGCATTTCATAGAGGACTGACTTGATCTTCATGAAACAGAGGAATGGGATGAAACGTAAACTGCATTCTGAACGTATTGACTTATGGCTCTTCATTTATGAAAATTAAAGAAGAAAGTTCACATTATAATTCTGTAACCATTTGTTTATCCTCATATTGTAGCAGACCTTTATGACCATATATCTTGTATTGAACACAGAGATTTTGAAGAAAGTGCTGCTCACTCTTTTTCTTGAAATAATGAATGGGGACTGAAGTTTAAAACAAAAATACACAAAAACATGTTTTATAAAAGTGGTCCATACAAATTGTGCACTAAAAGAATTTGGTGGTGAAATGTCTCACTCAGAAATTGATAGCAAATTTTACAAACAAACCACAAATTGAATGTGAAAATTTGAAGAATCTCAGTTGCATGCTCCAATAATTTTTGTTTTATTCAACAACTTTTTACAAAATATTTTTTAGTGTATATTCAAAGTCAGTTCTTTTTTGACTGAAATTTAAGTGATAATTACAGAAAATATAACCGATTTGTAAAAAGAAATAAATAGATTTTAATACAAAAATACCTTTTTCTGAGTCAAATCTTTTTAATGAATCAAATGGGTCTCATTTTTATTACACAAAGCGGTCATATGGCAGAACACTTGAAATCTAATGCACAAGTCATGTGGATCACTTTTCTGATGCTTTTGTAATTGTATGGAAAAGAGTGACCTGCACATTTTTCAAAAATTCTCCTTTTGTGTTCTACAGAAAACAAAGGTTCAGAAACAACAAAAAGGTAAGTAAATGACATTTTGAATTTTTAAGACGAACTATTCATTTACCTGGCATAAAATAGGTAACTGATAGGAACTGCGTTTTAATACGAGTCTATATCAGTGTCTAAAAAAAACTGTTCTAAATTCAGTGAAAATACACATTATGTAACCAATATTTCATAACCGAATGCAAAAAAATTGTGAACGATACTTGATACAGCGATTCCAAAGGGAAATTTCTAAAGTTTAATATCAGTTAATAATTTACCATTCAAACCAAAATTGTTGTAGCACAGGGCCTCAGTTACAGCATTTCATTTAGTAGCTCCCGCTACAAGTTCATCTTATCTGAGCTCAAAATCAATCCTATCTTGAATCATTGGCTCTCAGTAAATGCATTAGGACAGAGAACGAATTTAATGAGTCTGGTCATTATTGTTTTCCTGCAAAAAGGATTGGGTAGAAATTAAGCTTCACCTGTTAAGAGACCCTCATTAGAGGCTCATTCCTGAATTAGGCGGGTGAGAGGCATACCTTGACCTCGATGAAATCTGGCTGTCCAAGGGCGATGAGATCTGCGTAGGCCTTCAGCTCATCCACATTCCAGGCCTTCACCAGGGTCAGTCTGTACACCGTACGCTGTTGCTAGAGGAGGAAACACAAGGAGGAGCTGTCAAATTACTGCCTAATTAAACCAACGCACCTGGGTTTGAGAATATGAAATGATATCTGGAACCCACTTCTATAATCTGATGTATTTCTCAGTGAAGCTGTATGATCAACGGAGAAAAAAAGATTACAAATCTATCACAAAGATCACAAAGCCATTTTTGTCCCTTTGGAATAGCATTCACTAATTTTAAACTATTGAGATGAGGATTTGCTTGTGAAATTATATTGACAGAATCGGTGGGCAATTCAATTTTTTTCCATGGCTGTATTATCTGCAAAAACACAGGGTGGACAGTATATAAAAAAAATATTATTAGATAATAGCAAGAGACCATTCTTGACACATATTAGACAAAACTTAAATAATTTGTCATTTTCCTTTTTACATTAATCTTTGCCCAAACATGCACTTAATTTGATAAGAACATTATTAACAACAAATCACTGTAAAGTGACACATGAAAGTGAAGAATTATTGAGAGAAATGTATTACTATAATATCCTAAGTAATATTCAATATTCAAAACAATATTCAGCTGGGTTCCAACAAACATTGTGTGAATGTGACGTAAACAAAGAATAAACCCCAAAGAATGCTATTTAGACATCTGTAAATAATAATAATAAAATAATAATAATTATTATTATTAATGCATATTATTGTCATTATTACTACTACTACTGTTTCTGTTAACAATAAAGTTAAATATTTAATTTTTTTTATTTTTATAAAATCAATGAAATATTGATATTTAAATAATACATTATTATTATTATTATTATTATTATTATTAATGAATCATTATAAAATGTATTTATATATTATTGGTTATATTATTATTACTACTACTACTATTACGTTGTATTTTGTGTACAATGACAATAAAGCATTCTAATTCTTCTCATTCTAATTATTGTTAATAAAAGTACATTTTAATCTTTAATATTTAATTTCTTAATAATAATAATAATAATAATAATAAAAATCATTATTTAAATTATATTAGAATGATATTTTAATAATAATAATAATAATAATTTTACCCCTGCTTCTATACAAGTCAAAGTATAATGTGAATAATGAAGCTGTTAAAGTTGTAAGTGACAAAACAAACTAATTGTAATTGTATGAAAATTAATCACAAAATTTGCCAACATTTACTGACGGTGACAGCCTAGCGAAACTTGTAATGTACTGAAGGCATGAAGTAAACAGCACATCCCATGACTGACAAATAATTCAGAGCCTAAAGTGGGATGTTCCATTTCCAGCTATTGCATCAACGTAATATCTTGCTGACGGTGCTTAATATCATTGACGAGAGTCAGGTGAACATGGAGAAAAGGAGCCAGACTTTTTAATAAGAGAGCTTCTTCAAGCTTCAGCCTCCGGTGTCTGCCCTGGGGTCCCGGAGTTGGGAGCGCTCCGGCCCACATCATTACTCACAGACCCTCACACGCCAGTGCCCTGAGGAAAGGAAGCCCTCACAAAACACAGCGACTGATAATGGACACTCATGCCTCCCATTCCTGTTATTGCACATTGTCAATCAAACACTCCGCGTGTCAGTCTGACATTGCTCAGTATAACCATGTCTGTCCCTATAGGCCGAATGTCTTCGCACGGTTGGTTGGTTTCTGTCGAAGTACAGATGTCAGCACAGTCAGCACTGTTCCTGATCCATGCTAACTAGCGGATTTGCAAGACAGGGAAGGACGAGGGGATGGAAGCCAATGAGAAAATCCAACAGCTGGAGAGGATCTGGCCTTCACCGGTGCGCTCACGTATGTGCCTGTGAACCAGAGAGGAGGAGATGGACGAGAGAGACGGATAATTGGAGTGATGTGGCAGCAGGTGAGGGTATTTAGAGCAGCAGCCTGTTTTAAACCTGCCAAGAGAGCTTCATCCGCCCTACACCTGAGGCAGAATCAGGCAGCAGGTCAGCAGGGCTCTGTGAAAACAGACAGCCACATGCTGGACCAGAACAGTAGCATGCCAACATGTAAAGCTCTGTGTCAGCACTTCTTCACTTTACACTTTCACAATAAGGCAAGCCTCACTGTTATTATTGCACATACTAATATGCAGAAAGCCATTAAAGCCATCTCATAGTTTAAAGGGGTAGTTACTCACCCTCAAGCCATCCTAGGCAAATATCACTTTCTTCTTTCAGATGAATACAATGAGAGTTAAATTAAATATTGTCCTGGTTCTTCCCAGCTTTATAATGGCATTGAATGGTGGTCGAGATTTTGAAGGCCAAAAAAGTACATCCATCCATCATAAAAAGTGATAAATCGATTCATGGATCAATTCTGTGATTTTACGAATGCATCGCGATTCTCAGGAATCGATTCGGAGCTTAGTTTTTAACAGCAGATGCTGCTCTAGGCTAGTTTTTAAACGCTAAAACACTCAAATGCTCACTTGTGCATTCGGCTAAGTAATGTAAGTGGTTAAATGTACTTACACCTCATCTTTTATGCTTTTACGACGTGAGATTAATGTAAACACAGCCCACGGTGAACACTCTTCATGCTTCGACCATTAAGAACTTTATGAATGATTATTTTAGGTTCAAGTGGTATGTGTGTAAGGAACTGGAAGCGAGCAGAGTACGGCTGTTTCCAAAGCACACAGTGCCATCTGCTGTTAAAAACTAAGCTCAGAATCGATGCCAGAAAAAATCGCGAAGCATTCGGAAAATCGCAAAATGAATCCATGAATCGATTTATCGTCGCACCCCTAAAAAAAGTGCCACACGTGGCTCTGGGTTAATAAAGGCCTTCTGAAGCGAATCAAGATGTTTTTGTAAAAAAAAATTCCATATTTAAAACTTGATAAACCGTAATCTCTATCTTCCGGCAACTCTCGTACACGCGCGTGGTCATGAGAGAGTGCCGTTCCAGCAGCCGGAAGCTCCGGTGAGAATATGCTAGTCTCGCGAGAACCAAGTTTTGTTTACAGCAAAGGAAAACCAGTCTCCTCTTGGCTTATATCGAAATCCTCCGACATTTTTCTTTACAAATCCTTGTTTTGTACGACTAGTTCGTGACCGGTGTTTTTTTTAGCGTCCTTGAGCCCTGGAAAGGCGCTATATAAATAAAACGTATTATTATTATTATTATTATTATTAGTCTCTCCTCTGCACTTCCGCGTTCATCACTTCTCACCAGAGAATCTCATCCGCTGGAACCTAGAGTTGTCGTGCCCATGTGCTCCCTCAGATTTTTGAGCCAAGTGGATTTTGAATGCAGCTTCCAAAAGACCAACAAAAAAAAGCAGAATAATATTTTTTATATTTCATACAGTCATACCGGCGTGATTAGAATGTGCAGTCACCAGCTGCTAAATTCAAATCTGAGTTTGCGCTTTGGCTGGTGCTGAGCCAGAGACACACGTGTTTTTACAGCGCTGCGCATTAAAACCAATCACACACGATTCTGTTGAGCTTATGAATGCAATGACCAATCAGAGGCATTCAGATGAGTCATCGCTGAAATGCTGGTGTTCTGTTCACTCGCTCGCTTAAGGAATTCTGTTCTCTGACGATTCTCTCATCAGAAACAAAGTGCAGATGTGCGTACAATGTACAGTAAGTAGGATATTCATTTCACAGTGTACACAGCTTCAGTGATTATCATGAGAGTTTTTGAGAGTGTTTAAAATTATCTTTGCTTTCTTTCTGTACAATGAAAGTTTTATAATTAGTAAATTACAATGTTTTTATTAAATTCACATTAAATACAAAGTCAGTCATATTAAAAATATTTTATAGCATGACAGTCATTATCTAGTACTTAAGTTAAAAAAAATGCTTTTTTTTATGTGTAATACAGATGTGGCCTTTAAAAATGCGCCTTTATTTCGATGAAGAAGTGCACCAAACCGGCGGCACAGAGAACCGCTCTCTCCTGTAGAGTACGCAAAAAGCCCGCACACTGAGTCAGAGGCAGGCTCAACCCAGCGTTTGGGTAGAAAAAATAACCCAACATTAAAAATTACCCAGCTGCTTAATTACAGAAAAACTACCCAGCATCTGGGTAAAAAATATTATGACCCAATACAATGACCCAACAAGCTGAACCCAGCATTTGGGTTTAAAAAATAAACCAGCATTTACGCGCCCATATAGCTACAATAAAAGTTATAACCTGTAAGTTGATGAAAGCGTTTAATGTGATGCACTTGCTGCCTCAGATACAGTCGTTCTAATGACAGACAAAACACAGATCATTCGCTGGTCAACCAACTCCATTTGATCTTGATTTTCATAAAATGTTAAGTGTCTGATAAAGCCACAATACTAACACTGATGACGCAGTGTTTCATTATATTTCTATCCTTTTTCCTATATTTCAGTCCTTAGTGGTGTGTGGGATTTTTTATTTATCAAAACTGTGCCCCCCGCGATTTACGCCACTGCCATACCCTATGGTTTTGTGAAACGTCGCCACTGCACAACCATTATAGGCCGTTATACATACTGAAATTTGTGCCAAATGGTAGTTAAAGACTAATCAATAAAAAAATAAAAAATAATAATCTGGTCACCCCTTACAAAAAATTTACCAATAAAGTTGAAGTAACCATCTCATGATTATTAAAATAAATTTAAAGCGTATTTACCAAAACTCATCATGAAAGGTCTGTTGTAAAATATTGTAAAATACATGATTGATGTTTGCTTCAGCATTGGAGTTTCCTGGGTTTTGCCAACTTTTATCGGCGGTTCATCAGGAGTTTTGGTCAGATCGCTGCACCGCTCACAGCATTAACCTCCACCAAGGTGTCTTTCAAGTGGAACCAGGATGCTCAGGTAGCCTTTGATACCTTAAAGTCCCGTTTTGTCTCTGCACCTGTTCTGCTGGTTCCAGATCCTGAGTCCCAGTTCATTGTCGAAGTTGACGCATCGGACGTCGGGGTTGGCGCAGTTCTATCTCAGCATTCCTTCCGCAACGGGAAGGTGCAC